GATGGCCAGAAGAGGATGCTAGATCTCCTGGAGGTGACACAGGCTGCTGTGAGCCACCAGAAGTGGGTGCCGAGAACCTGTCTGTAAAAGCAGTACAGCCCCTTAACCACTAACCATCTCCCACTTACACACATGTGCATACACATATCACACACATAAGACAAAAAGAATCTTTAACAAACATGTACATCCATGATCTTTTTCTTATTGTGTGTCCATGTCTTTGCCTGTGAGTGCAGTGCCCACGGAGGCCAGAAGAGGGCATCAGAGCCTCTGGAACTGGAATTACAGGGAGTTTTGAGGTGTCCCATGTGGGTAGGAACCCAACTTGGGTCACCTGTAAGAGCCGCACTCTCTGTTGACCACTAAGCCATATCTTTTGCCCAACATTCTTTTCTTTACAATTATTTACAAGCTATTCTTAGCAAGCTCATGTGTGGCATCCTCCATATATCAAGAAAATGTCATAAGACAATTATATTTGGATTCCCCCAATGTATTTCAAATAATGAATTTTTATTAGCATAAAATATTTTTGTATCCTCTTGACTTTTTGTGTCCCTTGGGTACTCAGTAAGAAGATAAATGTAAATTTCTTTTTCAGAATCTAATTTAGAAGAAAATCCTTATCAAAGTCATTACAGCCAACAGGAAATCTTTTAACTTGGAACTTTTATCTTGTAAGTGGTACGGCCGTGCTGGTAAAGGCTCTTACTATCAAGCCTAACTTCCGAAGTTCGAGCCTGGAACCCACATGGTGCTCAGAGAACTGACTCCCACGAGCTGTCCTCTGACCTCTTGTGTTCAATGGCATGTGAGTACCCCAACATGCGATATGTGGTGTTACATGTACTCAAATTTAAGTGCAAGTAGACAGGTTTGCTGGGAATTTTGACTTTCTGAATCTTTATCCCACAACATCACCACCAGCACCTCAGACAGCTGATGCGGTGAAGTGTCCAAACCATCTCCCCTCTTCAAAAGTGGAAATAAGATCAAAACAGAATCTGAGCCGGGTGTGGTAGCGCACACCTTTAATCCCAGCACTCAGGAGGCAGAGGCAGGCGGATCTCTGAGTCTGAGGCCAGCCTGGTCTACAGAGCGAGTCTCAGGACAGTCAGGGCTGCATAGTGAGACTCTTGTCTTTAAAGGGGCTGGGGAATAAGATTAAACGAAAGAAATAAGTAACACAATTTGGACAGACAGACACCACTTCGGGCGCTGTGGGTGAGCAAGCCCAGATGGACAAGCAAGACGGGTGAACTCAGGGTGCCAGATGAGCCCACAGATGTCCCAGCAGACCAAGTGAAACTCCTTGCAAACAACACTTGACCTCCCTTGTCACACAGCCAAGCAGCTCTTTAGCCCAGGCCCCAGTGACAGGCGTCTCCAAGGCCCCTGGCTTGTTTCAAAACATCTTTACAAATGGTGCCAAAACAAAACAAAACCAGGTCCTGACCCGGGGCATTTACCAGGGACATTCCAGATCATAACACCAATCAATGTACTTCCAAAATAAGACCACAGCAGGATCGAAAGTCCTGTCCACTGTTACCAGTGCAGCGCCCGTGGCCTCTTCAAAGAACACACTCGGCACAGCTCTTACCTGCATGAAGCTGAACTCCAGGGCTTAACCACTTTCCCCTGGGTGGGGTGGAGCTAAACTGTTACCAGGAACTGAGGTCCATGACCCGCTGCCTCAGTTTCCCCATGTTCCAGCAGAATCATAAAAGAAAACACAAACAGGAAACATAAAAGGATTTAAGAAGTTAATTTCTCGGGGCTGGAGAGATGGCTCAGAGGTTAAGAGCACTGGCTGTTCTTCTAGAGGTCTTGAGTTCAATTCCCAGCATCCACATGGCAGCTCACAACTGTCTGTATTTCTGGTTCCAGGGGATCTGACACCCTCACACAGACATACATGTAGGCAATAACACCAATGCACATAAAATAGAAAATAAGTTAGTTTTTCTCCATTGTGCCCATGGCAATCTTACAATCCACACAAACCCATGAGACAAAGGCTGAAAGCTGCATAGATTTAGCTGTGACGCTGTACTGACTGGTTTCATGTGTCAGCACACGCTAGAGTCATCAGAGAGGAAGGAGCCTCAGTTGAGGAAACGCCGCCATGAGACCCAGCTATGGTAATGTTAAAAAGAGATCCCGGAGAGAAAGACACCGTGAGACCGAGCTTGGGTGGAGGGATTTTTTTTAATTGGGGGAAAGTGAATGGAAAAGCGGGGAGGGGAGAGGAAGACCAGCCTCTGGGGACAGGAGTGGGAGAAGAGGAAAGAGGGGGAAGGAGACAGAGAGACAGAGACAGAGAGAGGGGGTAGACAGGGCCCTTTTAAAAGGGAACACAGTGAATGTGCACAGGTGGTGCTCTTAGTGGCTGCAGCTGAGGGCGTATCCTGTCAGAACCCCAAGGACAGGCCAGGACACATGCCTGAATACTAACACCAGCTGTAAGGCATTTTCTCTATTAGTGACCAATGGGGGAGGGCTCAGCCCAGGGCTGGGGCTGGTGGTCCTGGGTTCTATAAGAAAGCAGACTGAGCAAGTCATTGGGAGCAAGTCAGTAAGCAGCCCCTATCCATGGTCCCCACTTCAGCTCCTGCCCTGTTTGAGCTCCTGTCCTGACTTCCTTCAGTGATGAGCCTAGTAAACCCTTTCCTCCCAAACTTGCCTTTTGGTAATGGTGTTTTGTACAACAGTAGAACCCCTGACCAAGACAGACACTGTCAGGTTGGTCCTTGGTGTCCTTCGTGGAGTCACCTGGCGGCTCCGAGAATCTGTTGTGCCCTTACAAGTTGCGCTATTACAATCTCACACTGACCCAAGCGGCCTTTGCTTGCTATTCCCCGTTTCCAGAAACTTCCCCTTGAGACCTTTTACAGCTCTCTCCTGTGTCCCTATGTCTCTGCACAACTGTCCACTCCTCCTAGGTCATTCTGTTGCTGTGACAAAAAGAAAAAAACCCTAAGAAGCCTTTAGCAGGGGATCTCTGTGAGTTCGAGCCCAGTCTGGTCTACATGGTAAGTTCCAGAACAACCAGGGCTACATACATAGGGAGACCATATCTCAAAACAACAACAACAATTACCCTGACAAGCCAGTCAGAGGGAAGGGGTCTCTTTCAGCCCCGACTCCATTCCAGCAGGAAGTCGGGGCAGCCCTTGAAGACAATGGTCACATCACAACCACAGTCACAACATTCCCACTGCCCAGCTGCCTCTGCTCATACAGCCCATGGCCACAGCTAGGCAACGGCGCTTCCCACCTCAAGGTGACTCTTCCCCCATCAGTTAAGGCCGTGGAGAGGACCTCCCCCCAGGCACAGGCCAGCCTGATGGAGACAGTCCCTCACGAGATTTTCTTCCCAGATGACTCTAGATTGTGTCAAGTTGATGCTTAAAAGCAACTATCACAGTGACATCGACCTGACACTGAGTCCTCCCTTTGGCCTTCTGTGTGGCTGCTTCTTGGGCTCTGTTTCCCAAACTGTCACATTAGGGACTCCCTTGCCTGCCTGCTTCATGTTGGCCTTCAAGATGGCCACATGGGATCTTGGGTGAGCTCAAAAGTTTCAGAACAGCAAAAGACAAAAAGAAGTTTCCAGAACCTCTTATTTATGTATGCCGCCTGTTTGCTGGTAAAGCTGAGAGTCCCCTCAATGCTCCCTGGGACTCTCCAATGGCAGCAAGGTTCACAGTCCAGTTCAGCAGTTTCCAGTTCCCAGGCAGTTCCCCTGCATTCTCCCTGCATTCTCCAGCTGGGGAGAGTGGAGAGAGACCCTCATGAGATTGTGGTTGAAGGACGGACACCCAGCGTCCCTGACACAGGGAGAGCATCCGTGCCAGCTGGCCATGGTCCCCGTTTATTCCAGTTGAGCTGCTCAGTGTCCATCAGGGTTTCAGCTTTCTCATCTCAACAATGGGATGCACCTGTCCTTCCTCCAAATCTCTGTGGACTAGAGGACAGAGGATGAAATCCTCCAGCCCAAGGCTAGGTCCACGTCTGTGCTCAGTAAACGCTAGCTTTTCCAGCAAGGACTCAGCCTGAATCCCTCCCAAGAGCACTCTTCCCTCTTCCCCAGAGAACGAGCCTCTGCTCACACACCAGGGGAGGGGGTGTGGTTCCAATGAGAGTGGCTCCCATAGGCCCCCATATCTGAATGCCTGGTCTCCTGTTGGTGGAACTGTTTGGGAAGGATTAGGAGGTGTGGCCTTGTTAGAAGAGGTGTGTCACTTGCATGGAGGGGCTTTGAGGTTAAATGCAACCCATTCTCAGTCTCTCTCTCTTTCTTTCTCTCTCTCTCTCTCCTCTCTCTCATATCAGATGTGAGCTCTCAGCCACTGCTCCAGCTCCTGCCCATCTGCTGCCAAGCTCCTTGCATGATGGCCATGAACTCTAACCCTCTGGAACAATGAGCCCCAAATTAAATGCTTTCTCTTATGAGTTGCCTTGGTCCTAGTGTTTTGTCACGATTATAGAAAAGTAACTGAGAGAGTGGGTATGTGTTTACTTCAGGCTCCCTTCGCCGAGTGGAACTGAGTGAATTGGGGCTCTGTTTGACCCTTCCCAGGAAGTATGGTGTAGCTCGAATTCTAATTGGTCTTAATAAAAACCTGGAGTCAGATACGGGGTAAATGCTGAAAGGTCAGAGAAGCAAAGCAGCCAGCCACTGGAGAGACTTCTTACCTCTACTGAATCCTCAGACCCAAGGGGCAATTCTGTCCCTAGGATTCCTCAGCCAGAATGCAACAAGCTCCTGTCTGCCCCTACCTTATAGTCCTCTGTCTGCACCCCAGCGCTGTCCTCTGGGGTTTGAAGCCCTGTGTCCTGGAGGAGCCTCCGTGTCCAGCACTGATCTGGAGGAGCCCCTGAACCCCAGCGCTGTCCTGGAGGAGCCTCTGTGTCCAGATGTCCTCCGTCTTCAACAGGCTGACAACTGGGCAAACCTCCACTCAGCCCCTACTCTCCTTCCTGAGGCCACACAGTCAGAGGATAGTGTCAGCACACAGTCTCAGAACCAAGGATCTGCCTGGGAACACACAGTTCTTTGCTCCTCATGGTATCCTTCTTTCTCCTCCCAGGATCCCATCTGCTTCGTGTCTGGGGCGGAAGGATCACAAACCGTCCAGAAGAGGAAACGCCATGGGTTGCTCTCTTCAAGCTGATACCGGCCATCAGGGAAGCCCTGGCCCCAGCTGGGAACTTAGGGCATCGGGATCTTCTCTTAGCTCATCTGCTTCCTACATGGACCCTGTGAAGTAGGCACTGTTGTTATCCCCAGTCTTCAGAAGATGAACTCAAACCTCCGAGAGGGTCAGCAACTTGCCCAAGGCCACACAGCACTTCCTGTGCTAGGCTGGAGTACATGGCCACTTGGCTCTGCTAAGAACACAGAGGCCTCCGACCTCCATCCCTGGCTTGTTCTGCTGGCTGCCTGGATGCCTTCTCTTCTACTTTGGTGGGTGATATACATCAGCTATGGGAACAGGTGTTTGATCAGAGCCCCTATCAGATAGAATGGGAAGACAGATGCCATGGCATGGAGGACATACTAAGTCTACTTCTAGCTTTCCTTTGCTGCCACCAAAACTCTTGAGAAACTAACAGGAAGGGTTCTTGCTGCCCCCTGTTTCAGAGGTGTCAGCCTAGCTAGCTTTTGTGACAATGGGTCTGTGGTGTGAAGAACATAGAGGTGGCGGCTTGTGACAGAAGGGGTCCGCTCACAGTGCCCAAGAAGCAGAGGGGTGGGAGGTTAGGGGGATCACAGTGGCCCACCCCCTCCAGCCAGGTCCCACTCTCTAGGTCCCACCACTTCCAAGACTGATGAGTTCATCAGCGGATGAATCTATTGATGAAGTCCCCACTCCACCCGTGACCCAGCCACCTTCCCAAAGCCCACCTCTGCAGCCCACATGGGGGACCGTGCCTTCAGTGCATAGGCCTCTGTGGAGTATGTCACCTCCAAACTAGAACGGAATGCGCTTGAGAGGAAGCCAGAGGAGGTTGGGAGAAGGGGGAGAGAGTGGAGAGAGAGGGAGGGAAGGGGGGAGGGAGGGAAGGGGAGGGCAGAATGCAAAGGAGAAGGTGGGGGGCTGCAGGGTGTTCCAAGAAGCTAGAGAACTCCCGCCTCCTTCACTGAGCACCAGGAAACATGACTAATACCCATTGCAAGGAAGAGCCATGGTCTCTGCGCCTGAGGCCCCAACTAGGGAGCCCTGAGAAGCCCTTGGGAGCTGTGCCCAGTGTCCCTCTTATGCCCCTGATGCAAAGGTGGCACCCTCCTCTCACAAGTGCTAAACAATGAAGTGACAAGATGGAGATCCCCGCCTGCAGTCTCTGCCGTCTCATGCTCCTGAAGAGAGACGGTTCTGTCTCCCATCGAGAGCTGTTAATAAAAAGCACAAGCTGCACACCAGGGGAGGTACAGGAGAAGGTGGGGACCATGGAAAACTGGATGGTGATGGCCCATCCCAAAACCCAGCCTCTCAGTTCCAGCCAGTACAGCTGGGTAGAGAGACAGGCCCTCATGGCCAGATCTGACTGACGAGAAGCCAGAAATAGCAGCTCAATTTATTTCAAAACACAGGACAGCCAACAACATATATCTGTCTCCTAGTTTGATCCCTGGAGTCTAGCTGTGCCAAGGGCCTGTGTCTTGAAACAATCTGTAGTTGTCTGTATGAGAACCAGCCACAAGATTCTGTAAGACCAAAGAGGGAGGCAGACGGACCCAGGACCTACAGGACCTCAGTTAGGGACACTGGGCAACAAGACCAAGTGGCTTGCACAGGACTGTGAGGACAAAAGTGACTTCATCCTTGTAGCAAAGTCCTCGTTTGCTGGACACCGAGATCAGGGTGGGATGCTCACTCTCTTTCTCTGGATTTTCCTTACAATGTGCTGAGAAACTACAAGAAGCCCCAAGGGTCACTCGGCTCAGTCACAGAGGTCAGGACTCAGGTGGCAATGACCCCAGGGTTTAGTTAAGTTCCTGCTTGTCAGCAAGGTGGCTCAGCAGGTCAAAGCATGTGCTCACTAGTCTGACAACCTGAGTTCAAACCCTGGACCTCACTGGAAGGAGAAAACTGACTCCCAAAGTTGTCCTCTGACCCCCACGTGGCCATGTGGGGCACGCACACACACACACACACACACACACACACACACACACACACACACACCACATACACACACACACACACCACATACACACACACACACACACACACACCACATACACACACACACACACACACACCACATACACACACACACACACAATAAAATAGAAAGGACGAAATCTCCAGCACCATATCAGCCTCTCTGTTGGGAAATTTTAAAAGAGAAAGGAAGTACCACCTCATTTCAAGTTTCTGTGCAGTAGATGAAGCGTGTCTAGGTAAGGAGCCAAAGCAAGAAATGACTTTCCCCTAAAACCCAGGCCTTTCCGTTCTCAGCTGCAGCAGCCTCCCTGGGGAGAGCCAGGATTAGGAGGAGAATGTAGTCAGAACAGACCCTGGGGGCCCCAGAGCAGCCCAGATGAACACAGGGCTGGCTGGCAGCCTCTGCTCTTTACCAGGCTAATCCCACCTGGGCCTCAGCTGGGACTGGGAGATGGCATTCATTGTTCAACTCTTTCCCACAGGCTGTCTTCCACCTCTGAGTGCCCAGGACTGGGGTACAGGCGGCTGTGTGGCTCCTCACCAGCCACTTTGGCAGTCTGGAGCAGAGACATGACACAGCCAGCTCTCAACCTCCTTAGCGCCGGCCCGCTGTCCTGCCCAAGGGCCAGCCTGGCAGGGAGAACAGGGAATCGATGCCATTGGTCCAGTCACTGTTCCCCACAGCTGGCTCACTCTCCTGCCACTTTGAAGGGCTCCCCCTCCCCAGCCTGGGATCCTGCTTTCTTCTGTGGAAAATGAGGGCCAGTCATGGCTGTTCTGCTTGTGTCCAGAGGGTGGGGTTGAGAGGACAGGGATAGGGCTGCCTAGAACACTCTCCCTTCCTCCATAACAAAGCATCATGAAGAATAGAGAAGCGAACAAATCCAGCAGAGAATGGAGCCCATGGAGTTTACTCAGTGTGTGGGCGACATTTCCCCAAAGCAGCTGAGAGAGGGGGAGGTCACACCGGGATGTGTGTGTCACTGGTGACACTCTGGGAAGCTTTAGCAAAAACATTTGCCAGGGGCAGATGCATGCCTGTCCTCCCAGCAGAGGCAGCTGGATCTCTGTGATTCTGAGGCCAGCCTGGTCTACATAGCAAGTTCCAGACCAGCCTGGTCTACATAGCAAGAGTATGTCTCAAAACAAAATAAAACACTTCCTGGAAAGTTTCATTCCCTACTGCTACAGATGGAGGAGAGTTGGGAATGGTGGAGGGTGTCTATGATCCCAGTATTGGGGAGGCTGAGCTTAAGGCCAACCTGTGTTACATAGCCGTGTCACAAACAAATGAAACAGAGCAGTTCCTAAATCACATTGGCATGAATGTGGTGTTATTGTTGTTGTACTGAAACAGGATATCACTGTGTATTCTAGGTTTCTTCAAATTTAGAGAAGTCGGGAGAATCCTCCTGCCTCAGCCTCACCACCATACCTAGCTGGAAAACGAATTGTAAAGGTTTTAAACCCTTTCAAAGCAATCAAGTGACAACTGGGTCTGTGAAGGATCCCAGTAAAGCAGAAGTCTGAGCTCAGAAGGGACTTGATAACCAGAAGGTTAAATGAACACGAGGCAGTCAGGACAGCACGGGAGGGACAGTGGTGTGCTCGTGTGCCCTGCATTTCAGGGACACACTCCACACTGGGAAGAGGAGACAGAGCATGGGTGTGACTGCAGCTCAGCCTGAACGTGCTGTCCTGATGGCACTGATATGGCAGGAACCAACCAGATTCAGTGTTTAAGAAGTACCCGAGGGGCTGGAGAGGTGGCTCAGAGGTTAAGAGCCCTGACTGCTCTTGCAGAAGACCCAGGTTCCCTTCCCAGGACCCACACAGTGTGGCTCACAGCTACCTGGAACCCCAGCTCCAGGTTATCTGATGCCCCTTTCTGGCCTCTGCCAGCATCTGCATGCATGGACATATACACAGGCACACACGTACACATAAAAAAAGTTATATCTGTTGTTGTATTTCAAGACAGAGTTTCTTGGTGTATCTCTGCTTGTCCTGGTCACTTTGTAGGCCAGGTTATTCTCAAACTTAGGAGATCTGAACATGGCTTGAAATTATTTAAAAAAAAAAAGTCTGAGCTCAGACATCCAGAGAATGGATGCCCGGAGAGGCAAGCCTGATCACAGGAATGACTGACCACCTTTGTCCTTCCTTCGTCCCCCAAAGTCAGTTGGCTGGGGATGAGACAGAGGTGGTTTTTAAGGCGTTAACCTGCTGTCTTGTCACAGTCTTGGCTCTGTAAGTAAAGAACAGTACAAAGGCTCAGGTCCTGCCTCTACTCATCCACCTCTGAGGTGACAGGCAGTGAGGGCCCTGGTTACAGTCACACACTGGAAAGAATGGGGTAGGGGACATGAGAGGAATTGAGAAAATTAGAGTGTGGAGGCTCATTCTGCAACCACAGCAGGAAGTTGATGCAGGAGGATTGCTGTGAGTTGAAGGTTAAGCTGAGGTACATGTTGAGTTCCAGGCCAGCCTAGGCTATAGAATAAGACCTTGTCTCAAACAAACAAACAAACAAGCAAAAGATAACTTGGAAGGAGCATAAATTAGCCCCGCAGGAAATGATGGAAATAAGTTATGGGAATGAGAGGAGAAAATAACAGTTAGAGGGAGAAAGCATTGGCAAGACTAGACGAGAAGGCAAGTGCAGGAATGGGGTGGAGGGTACAGCTGGGGTCCTTAAGACATCATGACAGCTGAGAAGAGCAAGTGTGAGGAGACGCACAGTGAGCTCCCAGCACTCGGGACGGTCTCTAAAGAAAATGAAGAGCGTCAAGCCGGGCAGAGGCGACGCACGCCTCTAATCCCAGCGCTCAGGAGGCAGAAGCACGCAGATTTCTGTGGGTTGGAGGCCAACCCGGTCTACAGAGTGAGTTCCAGGAGCCAGGGCTACACAGAGAAACCCTGTCTTGAAAAACCAAGCAAATAAACAAAACAATCAGGGGCTGGGAGAGGGTTAGTGGATAAAGGGTCTGCTATACAAACATGAGGATCTGTGCTCCATCTCCAGATGCTATGTAAAAGCCAGTTGTGGTGATCTGCTCCAGTAACACCCCCCCACACACACACACTTTGCCAACACACACTCGGGGAGAGACAGGCAGGTCTCAGGGCTCAGTGCACAGTCAGACTGAGTGAGAGACTCAGTCCCCAAGGGAGATGAGGAAGGCATCTGGCTGGGTGTGGTGGCTCATGCCCTTAACACGGGAGGAGCTCTGCGACTTTGAGTCTGAGGTACATAGGGAGTTCCAGGACAGCCAGGGCTGCATAGAGGTACCCTGTCTCATAAGAGAAAGGAGGGAAGGAAGGAAGGAATGAGGGAAGGAAGGAAAGAAGGGAGAGAAAGAGAGAGAGGGGGGTAGGGAAGGGAGGGAGAGGGAGGGAGGGAGAGGGATAAAGAAAACCCTCTAGAATGAGGAGAATAGGGTCCCAATGAGCTCCATGGAATACTAGGGCTCTATCAGATATTGTAAAGCTGATAATTTAAAATTTTTACACTGGTGTATCAATAGATTGGGGAGGGGATAGCCTAGGAATAAATCCAAGTCCATTCAGAAATTAATATGCAGTAAAAACCAATGTGGCATGTGGCACTTGTATTTTTAAGATTTATTTTATTTTTAATTACACACACACACACACACTCACACACACACACACACACACACACGGTGGCAAGCGGTGGGGGGGGCAAGTGTGTTCAGGTGAGTGCAATAGAACAGTTAACATCACTGAAAACCACTGGTGAACTGCATGTTACTCGCTAAGTGGTGTTGGGGCAGCTGAGAGACAGCCTAAAAGAATTAACGCAAGACTCATGCTTCACACTTCTGTTGGAAACACACATTCCCGGGGTCCCACAAAGAGACACAGGGAAAAAGCAGAAGTAACCCAGCAAGGCCATTTCTTTATTTAAAAAGGTTATTATTCCAAGACCCAAGCCAGGCTAGCAGACAGGCTGGGGCAGGACGGCAACTTGGTTCATATTCTAACACGGGTGTCGGCTGTCTTTTCCCCATTGACTGGGGTCCAACTCACAGCTGGTATAACAGAATCTAAACAAAGGAGAAGCCGCAGAGCAGAGGGAGGGGCTGGCTGATCTGGGGACACAGCAGGGCTCTGTGAAGGAGTGTCACCAGTGAAGAGACTGAAAGATTGGCATAAAGCCGGGCCGTGGTGGCACACGCCATTGATCCCAGCACTCGGGAGGCAGAGGCAGGCGGATCTCTGGGTTCAACACAGAGAAAACCTGTCTGGGGAAAAAAAAGACTGGCATAAAAGTTTCCAAAATGATGAGATTCAGGGAACATTGACCCGTGGGGTTAGGGACTAACTAGATGGAAACTAGGACAGCCAGGGATTGTGGCCACGCCTATAGCCACAGCTTTTAGGAGGCTGAGGCAGATAGATTGCTACTTAACTTGAGGCCAGCCTGGGAGACCTTATTATCAATTAATGAATTAAATTGGATTGGATCAGATTAGATTATTGTTAGAATAAAAAGAAAAGTGCCAGGGATGGAGGCTTACACCTTTAATCCCAGCACTTTGGAGGCAGAGGTGGGTAGAACTCTGTGAGTTTGGGGCTAGCCTGGTCTACACAGAGAGTTCCAGAACAACTAGGATTATGTAGTAAGAATCTCTCTCAAAGAGACAAAACAATAAACAAAAGCATGTAACAATAAAAGCCTTCCTAGTGCCGTGTGCAGTGGCTTTGCCTGTCACCCAGACTCAGGAGGCAGAGGCAGGGGGCCCAGGAATTCAAGGTCACCTTCAGCTGCAGAGCTGGTTTCAGGTCAGGTGGGGCTACGCAGGAACCTGCTTCACAAAAATCAATACAGCAACAACACAACAGTCCTCCCAACAGAAGCTCCTTCATAACCTTGGAAAGGCGCCCCATGAACCCCATCACCAGTCCTAACCTGAGCAGTCTCTCCACCTTCTGGCTGAGGAAACAGGCTTAGAAAGAAAAGTCAAGGAGCTCAGAGGCAACCCAAGCTCCTGCCATCCTGGGCCAGCACCTGGGTGACCCTGACATCTGCACCAACTTTAAGAAGACGCCACCCTGTGGCAGGAGAGCACTTGGGCTAGCAGAGGAAACCAGCACTGGCTCATTGGAAGGAAGAGCTAGCCAGAAGACTTAAAAGACACGGGAACTGTGGCCCCAGGGCGGCAAGGAACAGAACAAGACACCCAACTCCCACCCTGTGCCACAAACACTTCTAGCTCAGTCGTTTCCTTTGTTGCCATTGGCTGCCCTGAAGGACTAAGTCTTTCAAGAGAGTCCAGTTGACTGATCTTGGATTGTACGACACACCCACCCATTAACACTGACGGGAAGCCAAAAAAGGAAGAGTGTCAGGAGGGTGTGTGCCCATTTCACAGATGAGAAACAGGGAGCCAAGAGAAGCACAGGCCTTGGCGAAGTGACCACAGAGCTGGGATGTGGGGTCTGTGGTGTGAGCAGAGGCCTGGTCGCCCCTCACAGAGAATGACTGGCGGAATAGAACACCTCATCATCCCTGAAGGACACAGTGTCTGGGTCTTCCCAGAAGCAGCCCCCGGGCAGGGCACAGGAAACTGCCTCAGAGTGGCCTCATCCCAACCGGGGCCTCAGAGGTAAAGTGACTCCCTTAAAGCCCTCAGTTTTTTATAAAGAAACTGTAGCCAGGGGCGATGCCTGTTTTCCAACACACAGTGCTAACCAAACTAAATATGCCCAGACCTGGAGGCAGCCCAGGCATTGCTGGTTCGTAAGCCCTGGAATGTTCCCTCCTGCACACAAAAATGAAGGCCCTATTTACACAGTTTTCCCGAGGGAGGGGTGGGCTTGGGTAGCAGAGTCCCCAAGTTCAGTCCTGCCACCAAAACTCCCCTGCAGAAACTAGCAAAGGGACTGGTTGGAGCCCAAGGACCTGGTTTCACATCTCAGCTCTGGCGTTAACTGTGCAGCCTCATGTAAGTGACCCAACCTCTCTGGGCTTGGAGGAAGTGAGTGGGGACAGTTAGACAGCAGTCTGGCATAGAGGAAGTTTCACCGAAGGTACTGCTGCAGTCTGTCCAGGCCGGCCTGTGGCGACATATTATTTATGATTTTTTAAAGCTTGCCTGAGGATTCAGAAAGCAAAGTCAGCCACAAGCCATAGAAGCCAGGTATACACCTTTAGTCCCAGCAGCCAGAAGCTAGGAGGTGGTGGTCACACCTTTAATCCTAGGACTCAGGGTTAAGAGGTAGATGGATCTCTGTGAGTCCAAGGCCACCCAGCTCTACACAAGATTGATCCAGTCCTAAAGAGTAACA